TAGTTAAATTTAATAGTTTCAGGATATCGTCATAAAGCATTGTCATGACTTGACAATCACGTAATATGACTGATAAAATTAATGAAACTATTAACAAAATCGGTCAACAAATTGACTTATAATTACCATTAAATGGTGTTGTTTTCTTGGTATCTTCATCCATCACAGATGATTACAGTATGTTTCTCTATCAGTTGCTCATTCAGTAAATATCTCAAAACCTTGTCAGTCTAATTGATGGTTTAGCGACACAATCATGCATGCAAATAATCAGTATAAGCAGTCGAGCAAATCTCCTGCAAACTGAAAACATCAATGTCGAATTTACCCCAACACTGACTAAGGTTCAAGCCATTATCATAGACATGAGTTGGGAGTGTACTCCCCCTGGTTACAACTTATGTTCTCTCTGATAATCACATGAGCATCACTCACTATTAATCATCTTGTAAAAACTTATTTAGCTAAATACATCTTGCAGCACCACATCACTTCGTAATATGACACAGGCCTAACTGATTTTAATAACTTATAACCACTATATCTCAATTAAATCGTATTCCGCCTTATGATAAACTGCATACTTGCAACTAACTTGTATGCCCAATCAGCCAGCAAGTATAAATATAAATAAATAGTCTGCCACAGATCAGAACATTGAGTCTAGAGCATGTCTCTTACGAATACACTCATGTTTAACGATTTGTTCCTAGCTATCTGTCCAAAATTCATATAATTATCACTCACGTATTTAAATTTTGTTTTGATAAACATTCATGTGTATTAGTAGTATTACTAAATTCTATCACGGTCAAGTAAAAATGAGGTTGAGAAAATCTCCCCGTAACTAAATAAACCGTATCAAACTAACTGGAACACTAGTTGGAATTCTCCACGGTAATACTTTTGTTCCTTCAGTTAGCCTACTAATACAGATGCAATTGGAAATCAACTCATATGGACAACTTACCGGCATAATTGTTGATTGATTTCATAATTTAAACCAAAACTAATACCGATATTAATATTTCTACAACATTCATTACTTTAATACTTCTAAACACAAAATACTTACTACCTATACGTTAAGTTATTAACCAACGGCTATTAGCACGCATCGTTTTATTATTATTATTGTCATGCCATTCTTTATAGTTCAAATAATCTTCACCCAAATTTTCATTTCAAGCGTTTTAAGCATGAAGGCAGATATTTTAAAATTATTACATGTATTTCCCGACCAGATGCTGCCGCTTTCTTTTTGATTTATCTTTCAGCTTACCAATACCCGGAGGATTCTTATTATCCTTGGTAACCTCCGGCGCACGACGATCCCATCCAATTTGGTATCGAACCAACATCACGTTGATTCTGGTGGGAGAGTAGTGTAGTGGCATTGGACAATAGCCACACAATCCACAAAGCTGTGAACACGAGACTACTCAGAAAATAGATATTCAATATTTAACGCGGAGAAATACCTAACAATGGAGAAGGCGCGAACAATGAATTGAATGGACTGGATTTGATCGGATGGCATGGCTCGGCCATGCAGGCGTGGTCCATCTAAATGTTACCTTATATCTTCTATTCATGTTAAATATATTGTTCCTTCTCTAGCCTAACGTTGTTCTACATCATGTATTGGTAATTGATACGATACAGTGAGTTGGTGTAGTCGATGGTGTGACTTCCACGTAAGATCTTATAGATTAGGCAGTTATATCATGACAAATATACAAATTTAGGATTAGGTCTATTATTAGAGCAGTACTAATATCATACTAGACCATAATTCCACACATCTACATCACTCGCGTATTAGATAAGAAAGTTAGGTCATCTATGTTGATGACTGAGGCCGTTTTGGACTAGAAAGCAATAGCGTAACCTTCTAGTTTACGCCGAATTCATACTTATTTGTTGGTGCTCTTTCGTCCTATTGGAGCATTATAGCTACTTTGATGACCGTACCACACGAACAACGTTATTACGGAAATATACTGGTAAGATTACGTACAGGAAACAGAAATGCGACCACTGATGCATAGGCCAGTTCATGGTGTGCGACTGATTGGCGCGTGTCAGTTGTTCTCAATCTTTGAAAGGACCGGTAAACTATTCGACATTCAGTGACGCGACTTTCGGGTGATTTGGTTAGAGTCTAGTAACATGGCTCAAACTCTAAACATTTTCTGACCCGATGGAACGTCGAACAATGAAAAATATATTGTTGATGAAGCTTACGAGCCAATATTGTTCAGTTTTCTCCTAGACAATAGCGCCTGGAAAATCAACAACCCATAAATATGATTCTTTATGATAATGCATACATACATGCTGAAAGATGCTGCCTGCAGATAAGTTATTAATAAGGAAGTTGTCGTTTTCCTGAGGACGTCTTAAGGGAAAGGTACCGATTATGAACTGACATACTGATGATTTTTTGTTTAAACACAGCATCTTAACTGTCCATTTAGGCGATGTTCAATTGAGGAGTATGCAATAGATGCATATATAAGGTTGTTCGGTAATGGGGAAGTAAATATTTCGTTATTATATAATTTCTTACAAAAAAATCTCCATTCACTGATCAAGTTACAAAAATAAGGTATAATGCGACACCAGTGACTAATACTTTAAGTATTCTGTCTGATAACTCATCAGTTCATTTTTGTCGAGATTTACTACTGCTCTACTATTAATGTTCAAGTTATGAAAGGTATGGCTAAATTATGCGAACACTACACAAATTGATTTGTCTTTTGCATTAAATATCAGTAAGGTTTTCAATCGTGTCAACAATAGATAGTTTGAATGTCGGCTACTCATTGGGGAAGAACATTGGAAGACCGAAAATTGAGTGACCGATTGGCTTGTTGCTTGCTACTTGCACTATGACTGTAGGCTGTTAAACGTATATAAATTGTTACAAAGAAATGTGGATTAATAATTATTATTTAATATCAGGTCATTACTTGTAACTACACATGGCTAGTTGTTGTCACGAAGTTAGGTAAGGTAAAACAAAATGTCTCTGCTCTACCCATTTGCACAAGCAAATTTACCCATAAGAATGAGAAAAACAACCTGTGATTCCCGTTATCTATCTATAGAGCAAAGTGAGTACAAATTTTCAAACAGCAAAAAACGAACACCTCCGTGAGTAGCTGTATAAGGAAAACTGTTTGAGAGAGAATTGCACAGGTGGATACCCCCTGATTTATTATGTCATAAATAAGGTGATAAGGCAATGGCCCACAAGTCCAACGCTTCGTTGAGACCTCCAACACAGAGCCTTTATAATGAATAATAAAAATGGAGGAGTGTAATTATGCCATCGGTGTCATTTGAGTCCAACTGATGTGTTAACAGAAACTATTGCGATCGAACATACTTAGAACTGAATAAATGGAACACATAGGACTTCTTTCACCACAGTTCGACCACTGGTCTCTATTCTAGTCCACGAATGGTAACGTTTTTATATACTGCACTGAAGTGTATCATATGAAGCGGTGTGTCACAATGCGATGCAGATAAACTGAATTCTTGAGTCATTACAAAAGATATTGGTAAAAAATAGTTAAAAAAACAGTCGGTAACCGAATTGGATGTTGAATAGTGTCAAAAATGCACGATCCTGTGTAACTATGAGAGACTGACAAATGTATAGATTAAAATAACATACCATTAAATATTTTAGATGATATCCTTGTTGTTTCAGAAACGCTTATATTACAGAAGTTATAGGACGTGAATATTATGTCCAGTTTTAATCCACTTTAAATTTAGGATTTATACAGATGAATTGTGAAAATACTACCACAAGTACCCCATTCTGATAACAATCATGTGGTCACTAGTGTCTGGCTTCAAAATGTAACTCCTAGCTTTCTAGCGATAAGCCGTGACCAGTAAAGTCCAATCCATATCGTATTTGAGACATTAATCCATCACAGACGATGGATGAATGGTTGTGCAATATCATGGATTGACTGAAATTAGACATTATTACCCTTGTATGCAGACTTATTGGTTTAGAGTCTAAAAGTTCGTGCGCAAGACCAAAGGTCCTGGGTTCGTATCCTGCTTATAGGATTGTGGCTGCGCACTGCTGAGAAGTCCCATACTAAGACGAAACGGCTGTTCAGTGCTTCCAGGTTTTTAATGGTGGACTTGTGATTGTATTGTACATGAACGTGTCTAAGTAGACTTTAAGTTGTTTTGCGTTACAGACAAGGCTAAGGATTAAACTTTCAGCTTGGAATGTTAATTGAATTATGTGAGTCGCAATCCACAATTCTAACACTTCTTCTTATCTCTGATCATAATCTCGAGTCCTACCATAAATCTAAACATAAGTGCCGTTTCCTACAGTCTTCATAAGAAACAAACATACACCCTGATCATAAACAACTATGAACTGTATATTAGTCTCAATCCCCCAAATATGAGCTCTCCATAGCCTTACTAATCATTGCAGAGAAACATCACTGTCAATTTTGTTTCTTAAACACATGATCATCCCACCCCCTCACTCCCAAGTAACTGTTTTAAATAATATACGGCCTCGTGAGTTTTGGGCCTTTTATACAACGATATTATTCACAAAACGGCTGATAGACAATGTGCAAGCTTGATATTCTCCTCGTAATATTATGGGCAGTGTTTTTTAGCTCATCTTAGTATTGTATACTCAAATTCAAAGACGGCTATATGTAATCGCGCACTCTCAGGGTCATCTTTGACAGTTGATAGGGTTACTCGTTATATAATTGTAGCTGTGCTGTACTTGTCACACATAATAATTAAAAATGAGGTTTCTGATTTTTCGACATCACAGGATAATCATATTTGCTTTTTCAATGTTTTTGTTTTGTTTCATATTGCACTATAAATATATGATTAAATATCAAACACAAACGAAAATATTCAATTACTGTAAGGAGTCCACGTGCGCAGACTGGGAGAACTATTCTTTTTCGTTTTATGAAAGAATGAGACAAGGGCCTGGAGAAAATGGTCTACCAGTTAGATTGTCAAATTCACAAAAAGCTCTGTCAAAAAGAACTCTTAACTTCAATGGTTTTAATATATTTGTAAGCGAAAAAATCAAAACAGATAGATCAGTAAAGATATCCGATATCCGAATTGCAAGGGAGCTTTATACTCTAAACAACTTCCTCTGGTGTCTATAATTATACCTGTATACGAAGAACATTGGGAAACACTTATTCGCACTATTGTATCTGTTTTAAATCGGTCACCATTGGAGCTCATAAAAGAAGTCATTTTGGTTGATGATGGCAGCTCACGACGGCATTTGAAAGAGCGACTTGATAATTATCTCTCAACAACCTATCCTGGTGGTCTTGTTTGGGTGATTCACTTGAAGGAAAGAGAAGGACTTATTCGAGCAAAATTGTTGGGTGCTAAGTTGGCAACCGGTGATGTGCTTATATTTTTGGACTCTCACTGCGAAACTAATGTGAATTGGCTGCCACCTCTTCTTGATCCAATTTCTAAGAATTACCGGACAGTAACATGCCCTTTTATTGATGTGATTGATGCTGACACCTTCGAATACCGTGCCCAAGATGACGGCGCCCGTGGAGCGTTTGACTGGAGTTTTTACTATAAGCGTCTTCCAAGGTTATCAGTTGACAGTCTTCATCCGGAAACACCTTTTGACAGTCCAGTGATGGCAGGTGGTCTGTTTGCTATTAGTAAAAAGTGGTTTTGGGAACTGGGAGGTTATGATCCTTTGCTTGATATCTGGGGTGGGGAACAGTACGAATTGTCTTTCAAAATTTGGATGTGTGGTGGGCGTCTAATTGACGTTCCCTGTTCAAGGGTTGGACACATTTTTCGCGAATATCCGACAAATTTTCCTCAACCAAAAGTAAAGAATTTTCTAGGAAGAAATTTCAAGTAAGCTATGAGTACATATTAGTACATCTGCAGTTTGTCATCGTGTTAACTAGAAATATCACTTACGCCGTTTTTGTATTTTAAATTAAGTAATCGATAAATGGTTGTGAGTTCAATGTTGCAAATAACTCGTTTAATACTTAAACCCTATTGATTCAAATGCTGAGCAAAGGGAACTATGAAAATTGTAATTTCACCATCGTGACATAAAACAATGAACCTCTTAATTCTTTGTAGTTCAGAACTTACTTAAAGTGTATATTTAAAAAGGACCAAGCAAAAATGGACATGTTGAAATGCGGTAAAAAACATTATCTCTTTTAAAAATTATCAATCTTTTCACTTTACGCCAAGATGAAACTACTGCGTAGATGTTACTGTTTACGGATCAGACAAACTATAAACATTGAGACTTTTACTTGCCTTTAGATATTGATTGTGTTATACGAAATTATCAATAAAATCTGATTTTTGAATGGAGCTCTATCACTGCATCGCTCACTTCATACCATTGTTCGCAACATCTCAAATGAACAGTCGTTACAAAGACAAAATTTCTGAACATGGTTTGTTTAATAATTGTAATTTTGCGTCAAACTTTGGTAAAAATCCAGAAACATTTGTCTGTTTATTAAAATCAGAAAAAGTCCACAGAAAAATTGTAACTAAAGTGTAAAAGATAAATTTAAAAACTTTTTCATTTGATAATTCTTCAAAAATACTTTGTAGGTGCATAGTCTTATAATTTAATTAATAACCATTCCATTAAATGCATTAATTCACCATTTACTCATAACCTAGCCCACTTTCTGATCCTAGTATATTTTTCAAAACCTAATTTTCCAATGCTTTTAAAATAAATATGATACAACACTCTACTTTTTGAGGATCAAAAAGCAGAACACCCAAGTAAACTTGTTATGTGAAGTGTTACTTAGAGCAGAGATAACTAAATGCGTAGGTTTTAAAAGTTTGTTTCTCAAAAAGAGCTCTCTTTCTAATTCACCCTTTTAAAATGCTTAGAGATGCGATGTGTTTAATTTCAAATTGAATGATTATGAGGTACCAGCCCAAAAGATCCGTCGAATATTCGATTCTCCAGTCCTTATAAATATGTATATGATCTACCTATCTCTTTCACTTAGATCAGTCAAAGTTTGTTGTTTTGATATTGAATCTTATAGTAATGTTGGATGTCACTAAGAGCTGTGTCTATTAGAGACTAAGCAGTCACTATTTATAAAGCTATTTTTGCGCAGATTCTAGTGTGAATAAACTTTACTAGTCTAAAATATTTTTGTTTTCGTGTATATTTTAGAACTTTATTGAATTTTAAGAGTCCTGTTATATACTTGATTAATCGGTTTAGGTGCTTATCATTATATACTGATACTTTATTCACCTAGCAATAATTATGTAACTAAAAAATCTATCACTTTCGGCAAGAGAATACATCGAAACCATTGACATTTGAAAGAGAAAACTGAAGCTATACGTGTTTATTAGTAATTTTTATGACATTTACCGATAATGTGATCTAAAAAGCTATACTGTGGCTATCTCATAAGATCACATTGCTACATCTTTAAGCAGTTTATGCTATTGTTTTTATCTATATTTGCCCAGACACTCCTACTGTTTCTGTATATATGCTATCTACACAGCATACACCTTAAGAGCTTCACGTAATTATGGCCACCGCACTTTGTAAAAAGTTATATATGCAACTCCTTAAAATAACCTCGTAATATTGCCAAATCACATATCCTGTATTTGAAATGCACGGTGTTTTAGAACAAAGTACACATTTAGTTTGGAATTGGGTTTATGGTGTCAGAGAGCAACTGTATCAGACAGGTTAGGGTTACGTTCATATTGTTAAGATTTATAAAGATATATTCTCGTCTGGTTTTCAATGAAAAATCTACAGCTTCTCGTTTTACGAATTCACAAACGAAGTTGGTACACGACTAACTGTTATCTGTTTGGATTTGGCACTAGCACGCGCGTAATTGGGTTCGGATTTCCGAACGTTGCGTGAACTAGTGGGATACATAGAATAAAACGAAACTACCACTAATCGAAACAATTTCACAGCGAAAGAGTATGGTACTTTAACTTCTGTTTAAATTGCAACAAGGTTGATAACTTTTGGTTGCCTAAAACCTCAAAGGAGTTCTATTGAGAAGCCATGACCAATATAGCCCAACCATGTTAGGTGTGAAGTTGTTACCCTCCGAAGACAACGGAAGCTGGTTGCTCAAGATCGTGGATTGATTGATGCTCTACATTAGCGTTGTTGGCCCAGTGGTCTAAAGGTTAAGTGTTCGTGTGTGACCCAGGGTGGTGAGTGTGGAATCGTAGATGAGCGCTGTCGGAAATCCCATACTTTCAGATTTTTAATGATGGTTTAACATTGGTCGGTTCGTCATTTAGATGTAAAAAAAAGACATTGTTAGAATCGGGTGGATAGAACTGGAAGATAGTTTAATTCTGTCACTGGTGAGAATTTGTTTGGTTATTTTTAGGCAACTATAGACAGGGCATATCTAAGTGATAAAGGTCCGGTTTCATAAATATATAAGGAATACATAAGGTTTTTCTGCAGGTGAACGCCATAAAAAAATCAGTCCGCAAGTTTTCGAACGGTGATTGTAGGTGATATCTGATGAAGCATTTAAAAATCATTCAGTTATCAAATCAATCATCATTTAGATCCTTATTTGGTAGACAAAATTAGAACATTGTTTGAAACATAGTAAGTGCTTGCTTAACTGGCTGATGTTATTAGTTTCCATTTAAAGACATATAACAGTGAAGTCTTGATTTTACAAAAAAATATTAAAACCATTATAAATAATCCTTGCTTCAAGAGAAGAATTTTACATGTATCTATTTTTTTGCTTTTCTGTATTGAATCATAGTGATATGTTTCGGCACTGTTGATTAAAATTGGTCTTATGTGAAACACTTAAATAATATTATTACTGGATAATTTTCTTCCGAAACAGCAATCAAACTTTTTAAATTGTTTTCCATTGTAAATACATCACTAGTCTTAATACTGGATGCGTAAGAGACACCATAATTTTAAAACGCACTGAGGAAAGTAACCGACTTTACACCTTGGTTTAATAGATTGCTCTTGAACTAAAACTGTTGAGGTTATAATCTTTTTCAAAAATTATGCGAACTGAAGTACCAACGATGGCTTTTTGTATTTAACGTTTATCCATCACGTTTTACGAACATCAGTATTTTTATCTTCCTACAAAAAGGTAGCCAAACTAAATATTAAAGTTCATATTGTTATGAATTTTTTGTCCCAGAAACCTTATGAATTTACTGCTTTTCATTTGAATTTATGCACTGAAACTTAGTACTTTGAAAAACAGACGACTCAATTAGTAGTTACATAACTAACATGTCACATTAGTCTAGTTGCTCATTATTTAAAAAAGGTGTAGTTACAAACATTCCATTTTTTAGTTAAAATCAAAAAAGTGCAGATAAGTAAAAATGAATATCTCAATAAGTATTTTGTGGAAACTTCCAACTTGAGGTAGTACTAGGACCGGTTCACTACAAGGTACAGAATAAAACTACACGTGTAATATGAGCTTATTGAAAACTTTATTAAAATGTTCCTGTAAACTTAGAAGCCTATAAAACAGAAAGAGATTTTGCTTAGGATTTACCCTTTTTTATGGATCCTAGACGTGTAGCAGAAGTATGGATGGACGAATATAAAGAATACATATACAGAAGTTTACCGAAATGTAGAAAAGTGGACCCTGGTGATTTATCACAACAGCATAACCTCAGAAAACGGCTTCAATGCAAGTCTTTTAAATGGTTTATGACAGAAGTAGCGTTTGATTTGACGAAAGCCTACCCACCTCCTGAAGAAGTCTTATTTGCCACCGGAGAAATACGTTCAGCTGCTTTCCCTTATCTGTGTATAGATGCTGCAAGAGCCACCAAACGATTACCGGCTAAATTAAGTTTTTGCAGTGCAACTAGTAAAAGATATAATTACACCCAGGATTTTGAATATTCTTTGAAAGAAGATATTAAGGCTGTGAAACCGTAAGTATGATGTTATTATCTGACCTTTGTTTTTTGAACGTCACTTTCATTTCTTAAAAATCGTTCTTGTTCTTAATCGTTTAGCACTTTTAAAATAATATCTTTGTGGTATCTTTTTTATTTATTTGAAGACTCGACATCTAAAATATACTTTGAAATCTAATGAAAAGCTTTAACTAGAAGAGGTCAACCATGTTGAGTGAGGAATCTGCCAATCAACGCCATCGGAATATGATAGTATATCATTGAGAATTAATCGTATTTATGCACGTAAGCCATTGGATTCCATCTCAGTGCTTAGAGCGACCTCCACGAGACCTAAAGTTTTTGAGCTAGACCCTGGTGGGATAGCGGGTGAGTACTGCTTAAAAATCCCCTACTAAAACTAAAACGTTATCCAGTGCGTCCACGTTTTCAGTGGTTGCCAAACTAAGGTCAGTTCGTGATGCAAACTACAAAATATTTTGAGCTGCTGAACTAAGAGTGTTAAATTATTTTAATAAGATCCGCGTGACACCTTAGACTTCACACAGTTTTTGCGCACTTTTGGAACAAACATCACATTCTTTACTACATTTGGGTGAGAGAAATTTTAATGTTAAACCGATGGGCTTTACTTCAGTCAACCAGTTAATTGCACACTTTTCTAATACTACAGTTTTATAAAGTTCTGAAAGTTAATGTTAAACGAAATCCAACAATGACTAACCAGGTTATAATTGATAATCCATCTAACAAAACATTTAAGAATTTTCAAGTTGAATTTACAAGTCGATCTAAGCCAGACCACTATTAAAAACCTGTAAGCAGTTGACGGCTGTTTCGTCCTAGTATGGGACTCCTCAGCAGTGCACACCCACGGTTCTGCACGTTTCCAGGCTTTTAATGATGGTCTAGCGTAGATCGACTCGTAAATTCAACTTGAAAGTACTGCAATCTTCACAAGTCCCCGTACTTTTTTGATAACTTATTACCTAGTAAGTTGACACAATAATTGCTGATAGGTGAATATTTTTATGTATTTTTTTAAAGACAAAAAACATTTTGAATTTTATGTTGGATCGTCTTTACTTGAAACTACTTTGAATTACAGTGAATCAAGTTGGCCGTAATTTTTAATTATGTGAAGCACACTGCTTATAATCTAATTTTCTTCTGTTTAGTCATGTATAAATACTGGAATACCATGTCATTCCTTTTGATAAATAGCTGGAAACTCAGTAAACTATCATAGCACTTTAATTTTAAATGAAAAATAAATACGATTTCAAGGTCATTAGTTGAGCTATCCCATGGGGGTTCTCGTTTTGAGTTGATCTATTTATAAAGCATCCAGCATATTAGACCTCTCAATACATTAGCTGAGATTCGGTGAAAGGACGTCGTATCTATTGTCTTATACTTCAGAAATTATAATAAACCACGAAATTTTGCAGTTGGATGGCTTAAAAGCATTAAACATGAGTTACAAACGATAAAATACATGAAAAATTATCTTCAGAAAACTTTGGGCGTACTTGCATTAGTTATTAAGAAAATGTGACTTAAATTAATTTAAAAACTGATAAAAAATTCGATGCCATTCAGTCTTCGTAATTTGTAACAAAAGCAAGCAAACACGAATCGATAATAAAATGGAAAGTAGCTAAGGTATTATCGTCACTATTTCATGATTCAGTTATCCCAGGAGATGAGGATGAATAAAAACTACCAAAGTACAAGTATGTCTTTTGTCATTGCTTTATTGTTCATTAATGGAATTACTCTCATATATCCATCATCCCAAGAGTCAAATGCTAAACGATCGAAATAATTTTGGTAGAATGAATAATTATCGTTTAAGTGCTTCCACTGTTTACTTTCAACCACAACTTAGATTCTGTAACACTCACTGGCAGAATAATGGTATTTAGCTCATACAGTCAGAAGCTTTGTTTATTGGTTCACTGGTTACTTAATAATTTAAGAGAGCTATAAAAACTAAGCAGTGATTTACGACGATTTTTCGTCCAACTGAAGTTATTTGTTCTGATGTATATAAACTTTTGGGTGGAAAATGCTTACTGAGGAAATCTGTCGTACTACATATACACAAAATAAATTTCTGATGTTTTACGACAATAATTTTTTCCGGTAAAGGAGAGTTTGACCACACTTTTTGTCAATGTAGGTCAGTACGTAAGCATTTAATGGCAGTAGTCTTAGCAAAGTGAAGTAAATTTATTCTTTTTTCATCTATTATTTTTAATGTTTCATGAACATCCACTTGTCTCGTTTTAAACTTTCGTCTTGACTTCACTCCTTAAGATGTGTCAAACTTAAATCTATATTTTACTAGTTATTGTCAATTTGGCTGTTTGCAGCCTATGATAAACGTTGTTGTTTCTATTTTAACAACTAAATTTAGCTTATGTCATTAATTACTACGTACATGTGCTTAAAAGTATGATAAACACAATTTCATCGAAAGAAGTTTATATACAGATCCATAAAAACCTAATATAATCATTTATATAAACTAATTTGATGGATTCTGGAAATGTCTGTCTATTCCAAATGTTCTGAAATGTTTTTTTCAGTTATGAGATATATCTACATATCTATTTAATTACAAGAGGACCAGTTAATGATAGTATGAGTTTATGTTATGGATAGCTTTTTTGAACAGCAATGAATAAACATTTTTGATTGTTTCCTAAGGCTATTCTAATTTTATTTACTGGAATACTCTCTATATTACAGATCATTATGTTTAGATGTACCAGATACCAAACCTAACAAAGCAGTTTTATTTCACGCATGCCATGGTCAAAATGGAAACCAACACTGGCATCTACAGTCAGTTTATAGAAACAAAGAAAATCCTATTAATATCGTACATTCCACTTCCGGTTTGTGTTTAGACTTAAATCTGAAAAGTCTGTCAGTTTTGGTAAGACGGTGCGATTCGAATTTGCGTACTCAAAGATGGAATTGGAGGGATTTACGATTTAAAACTATTTTACCAAACTTGTAATAAGAAGTAAATTGTAGTAGTAAATGAGATTGGTTATACCGCTTATGACCATTTTTCTGTTTATTTGTAAACTGCGATATTTAAATTATTTTTTAATCAAATGTTATGAAATAAAAGTCATTGTTTTCCTCTCACATTTACCCTCACTATCTTTGACGTGGTATACCAAGTGTGTGAGAAGAATATTACCATCAGAAGGGGTTTGTGGAGGTTTTTAGAAATTTTCACAGATTGAAATCATGAGTCAGTTGAAGCTAGACCACCACTGAAAACCTGGAAGCACTGGACGGCCGTTTTGAGCCCCGCGTGGTGCGGGATCGTGGATGCGCACTGCTGAGGAGTCCCATACTAGGACGAAATGGCCGTCCAGTGCCTCCAGGTTTTCAATGGTGGTCTAGCTTCAACTGACTCATGATTTCAATCTGTGAAGAATATTACCATCGCTTCTAGGTAATTCTATTTTAGCATCTTTATATAATCTCTTGAGATTTATTTATTCTTCTGAATAGATTATTTTACATCATACTACAAAATCTTATTGTCTCTAAATTTCATTTTGTGGAGATTCTATTTTCATTGCTTTGTGAATTCCAGATGTAAAGTTTTCGCATTAAAATGTTGTTATTATTTTTGACGATCATTACTTTCCGGTCCTGTTTACGACCGAAATTCTTTTTCAAATTGTTAACCTCAGTATTTACCACTAGATGTCCACTTCTGTTTGTTATGCAATGCTTTACTACATAGATTACCTAAAGCCCAACACCTGTCACTAATAAATTAATTTAGCACTAAAACCAGAGTTGACCTCAGAGTTCCCTTTACTGGCTGTTCTATCAAAAAGACAACCAGAATGTTTATACAAGGATCGATATATAGAAAACCTAACCAAAACGGATAGTATACGAGTTCTCATGAAGGTCATAATACGGTTCCATTTAGAACTCCTTTACAAATTGATTAAGTTGTAAATTGGTATCTAATCTGTTACACCAATTTACAGTAAAATGAGGTACGTATATCTTTGGGCTAATTGTGAACCAATAAATATGATTTACCACTTTGATTCATATTCTACTCCTAATTTCGCTTCGTAATGTGTAGACAATCGTCGTTTAATAAGCTGTATTTGTAACGGACATATATAAAATGAGGTAGTAATTATCTAGAATTCAGTTGCAATTGTAGCGCTGATTGGTAACGTAATCTCTATGTAATTCAGTTGATTATATTAGTGTGATTCAATTGGGCCATCGATTTTCCCCACAAATCATATTTGTGATTGAATTCTCCTTTTTAAAGTAATATGTCATTACTATGATAATGACTTACAATACTACAATCATTAAATCATCGGTGCTGTAAAAATAAACGTTGAGCCTGGTAACATTTTAAAATTTCATTCGTCAAGAAAATTTACATCCAGTTGGTTGAATCGACCCAGGAGTTTAGGTCAGAGAAGTAAGCATCTAACCAATCAACTAACCAGGTCTCACAGAGTAGAAAAATTTAAAATTCGGACTCCAACGCCTCTTCCGTAAACAACTTCTAAGCCGTGAATAGAAGGCATACTACAGCTCACTCTGGTATAATTTATTTTGATTACCAGGTTAGAGAAAAGAAGGGATTGTATCAACTTCTTTAGACTACAAACATTAGGTTACTGAATGTGTATTTTGATAGCTTCAGCAGTATGAAAAAGATAAGTCTGTAAATAATGCTTTAGATTTGATAAAGTATGGTGGGTAACTTTAAAGCCTTACTTCGATCCACTTAAGGTCCTACGTGAGAAAATAGGACTTCAAATCACCATTGTTCCTTGGCGAGCCACTCTGAATTATGTTCAGTTATACAATGACGGACTAATTTGATCGTATGTCCTCTATAAGTGGCCCCACAAGATCAGTTAAATGATAAATACCCAAGAATATAGCGGATTCAGGAAGTCTGTCTTTTCTAGTAGTTTTTATTATCGAGCAATTGTAAAAAGCTGCATTTGATTGGACCACAGTTAATGTTTTCTGTACAGATTTTCCTAACATTTGTGCTAATATTTGGCATGCAAACCCATTTTTTGAACATTAACTTCAAGAACATCAACTTCTTCAGAATAGTTACTATCGCCGGTATTCTTTTTATCGCATTTATTTAGTTGTTGATGAGTTTGGTGGGATATCCATTTGACCAAAAATATGTGGACATCTTTTACTTCGTCCTCGATGGTTTCATTGAATCAAATTGCGTTAGCATGATGAGTCAGAATTTATATTTTCTTTTATATCTGGGTGGTACAGAACTGTAGAAATACGTATATGACAGGTTTTGAACTTTCCGTACGTACCTATTTTAATGTTCTATTTAGCTTTTTTGTTAATGGGAAATCTAGGAATGATATATCGTTGTTCCGTTCTTTGTCAAGAGTAGATGTTACTGATGGATATATGTTTTCTCAATATATTAAGTAAACTATCTTTTTTTATTCTTATTATTTGACACTGTGAAAGTTCCATCTATGTAGCGATAATAAAATGTCAGCCAATTAATTAAGTTTACAAATGGTCTATTCTTCAGTTTTTGAAGAAAAAATTCTGCCAGGATCCAATGCTGTACCACCCGTTTGTTCATAGTGCTGATTGGTGAACTAGAAGTAGATACTGGTCGTCCACCTAAACATGCAGAAACTAAGGTTTATATACTCCTCGCTATAATTTCGTTGAAGATATAATCCATTGTTCTCAGTAGGGGAAAATTGATGGACAGATATTGTTCATATAATAATATCATGAATTTATCTTTAACTTCCAAATATCTTATAATATCAACGAATCCAAAAGAATAGTTTACGCCATGCTTAACAATTGTGCCACTTAAGTTAATGTTTTTTCGCCATTCTAATTCAGAACTATTAATCCCTAACCTACCAAATGATTTCGCATTCCTCTTCAGTTTCATGAAGTGCTGAGATGATTCGTAAATGTAATTTTGGAAACTAAACACTAACATATATGATATGAACTTTTTGATAACTTAATTAAGACAGAATAACCAAAAATTTATTTCCAAATAAAAGCAAACCTGTTGAGTATAGCATTCATAAGATTCCTTTATAAATCAAAGCCTACCTAAGTCTAGATCTTCATGTTCATCAGAAAGATGTCTGAGATTTTCAGTATTACGATTAATAAAGATATTGATATTTTCATTCAGCTCTATATCTCATTAAGTTAAGTTAAATTTTATTATTGATTAGCGTATGTTTACATCACGTCGTTTAATGAATAAACATAGTACAAGTTTACACAATTGTATTATGTCAACATTTCTTGAAATAAGAAAAGTTATTGTGACAATAAGAGTGAGAAACATTGTTTATTCATTTTATGAGTTAGTATTTGATCTTACCAAACGATAAATAGATTACAGATTAAATTTATAAGTTGGTCAATGTAAGATAGTTTATTGTAACACGAAATGATAAGAAGGATTGAAAATAAATTGAATATTTCTTTTATTTAAAATGATTACATTTTATATTAAGCATAAATGGATGGAGTTAAAAGCGTGTACCACTGAATCTCACTCTAGTGTTTTAGTGCTCAGAGCTTGCTGTGAATTCAGAGGGTCCTGCGTTCAGTCTCTGATATTTTAATGGGTTCACACTCCCGAGTTCACTGAACTGGTTTTTCATAGTACCCCACCAGAGACTAGTTTGAGACGAAAACGACCTACAAAAGAGATGGAATTCGTAGAATTTTTGTGATAGCATGACTTACAGGGTCAGTGGCGAAATCGTTCAAATCATTTTAGAAGCCGGATATGTTGAGCATTTTGTAAGAATGAATGCTGCTGTTTGGTAAGTTAGAATGTATATTTGCTGACCAACCAATTGACAGTGATATAACAGTCTTCAGCATTCTCCGATTGATGTAAAAGCAGCTAAGAGGAATTTCAGCTTAAAATGATTTTTTTTTTAGTGGTAGAGATTTTAAGAAACTTTATAATCCTAATAAAATAAGGTACCTTCTTTTGTTTTTATGATATTGGATGAGTAATCCTACGGTCATTCAATTTGTTTTGTTCATAAGTATATACTAATGAAACCATATATTTTTCGCATCTGTTATGTAATTTTGGTTATTATTCACTCCTTACAAACCCATCACGCTTTTGCATTACAATCTTCTAATTTCTTAGATACAGCGATGATAGTGTATCGGTCATAGAGATGTATACACTTGAGACCAGTGAACATCAAGAAGGTCTTGGGATCACTTGATTTACATACACTGTGAAACAGATTTCTCCTAACACCCAGAAGCCCAGTCTGATAATTCCAAACCAGGTTGTCAGCAAGTAACACTATTTTTTTTATTCTATGTTAAAACTTTTATTTTTCACTGCATAACTAATTTATGTGATTGTTATTATCTCGCTAGTAACCACCCAGCTATTCCTAGTGCTTAGTATTTTTCGAACACTTTATTTTACTCGACTAGCCACCCCCCAATCATAACACAGTTGGATAGGAACGTGGTTGTATTTCAAATAAACTTAGATTGAATGGGAGTAAGAATCATAATGGGAAAAACATTATTATATTTATGATGTTATCAAAAGATTCTAGAATCTTCTCCAATAATTAACTCCAGCTGCTTTTCTAAGAAGTAATCAATTAGCATGCTCTAACACAGTCCTTCACGGAACATTTTTTAATCCGATCTATGTTCCGCTGACACCTCCCCTTTGATCAGATTTGTAGGATCTGATGTTGAGGCCCACCTTCAACCAGCCGAATAGTATGTGTTTTCGATTGGTCTGCCTTCTAGACAATAAAGAAGCGGTATCACTTTTCGCTTGCACAGATACTAGTCTGTCTTTTTCAGGTGTTTTGATTTCAAAGGTGTCGGGTAGAACATCAAGGGGTCTTCTATGTATGGTTTCATTGCTAGGGTTCGAAGTAACTTAGTTAATTAGTATGGTGCACCTAAATTTCTAGACCT